GCCACAAGGAGTTACGCTGATAAAGTCAGAGCCCTGGAGCTGGAGGAGCCATGTGGAGACCCATACCAGTGCTGAGATGCTTCCACCTATTAGATTCACAAAACTTTCTACCCACTAGTGTTATGATCTCCCTGAATTTGGGGTCATTGCATGGCTGTGTGAGTCTAAAAGAGGAATTTATGGACTAGATCGACATATAGGGTAATATCAGCCTTATGAACTTGATCTGGACTGGGCTAGGATGTTTTCTTAATGTATAATTGCTCTTTGATATTAAGCTCTCTCTTACACGAGTGGCTCTGGATTTGTTTCTCTAGTCAACCCGGATTAACACACTGTGCTACCAGCTCTCACCCTCCTACCACCAACTATGCAATTCATGAGCACAGGAGCCATGTCTACTTTACTTCTAAACTGTATTGTCATTGAGTTCCAGCATATTGCTTAGCAATTAATGTTAATAAATATATAGGTAATGAATGAATAAATATGTCCAACATACTACATTGCAGTACAACAGACGTTTTCAGGTTTTTCTCAAATAACTGTGTGCATGTGTGAGCAGCAATTAGATAATTAACTATTGTGTATATATAATAGCTGGTTATTTGTTAACATACTTATTACTTAATAGTCAATATTAACTTTAGTTAATTATGATAAATAAATGAATGAACAGATAGAGACAGAAAGAGAGAGAGAGGAGTCACCTTCACCACTCCCTGCTCCTCCTACAGCTATACATTGATCTATGCTTGTCCAGGTAGGTTTGGGAAAAGCTAACAAAGCATGTTAAAGGAAAACAAAGTATAAAAAATTCTAGTAAAGGCTTTTCATTAAATACTCTTTAGTAGAACGGCCAAGTCCAGATTCTGTTTGGATCTCAGATTATATTAATATTAATCTGGAAATTCTGAATGGCATATAGGAACTGAAGAAAAAGCTGAGTTAGCTGTCTGTACCCATGAAGTTTTAATGCTCACTGGCTCCTGCAACCCTAAGACCAAGTCAAACTCCCTGCTGTCAAGTCAATTCCGACTCACACTGACCCTGAAGGACAGGGTCGAACTGCACTGCAGGTTTGCAGGCCTATGAATCTTTATGGGTGCGAATAGAAAGCCTCTTCTTTTCCTCTTCAAACTGCTGACCTACCTTGTAGTTAGGAGCCCAACACTACTATGTCACCAAGATGCCTGCTCTTTGCAACAGGTTTCACTAACTTTGGTAACCAACCTATTTTCTCCCCTGCAATGTGGTTGGGCACATCTTCATTGTCTGTTATCCACAAGTGGGTAAAATGAGGTAAAGTTTTTTGTTTTTATGTCCCCCCTTTAAAAACAACCATTTTATTGGAGGCTCTAACAGCTCTACCACAATCCATACAGATATTCATTGTGTTAAGCACATTTGTACACATGTTGCCATCATCATTTTCAAAACACTTTCTTTCTACTTGAGGCTTGCTATCAACTCATTACCCCCCTACCCCCCACCATCCCTCCCTCATGAACCCTTGATAATTTATAAATTATTTTTCATGTTTTACACCTACTGCTGCCTCCCTTCACCCACTTTTCTGTTGTCCGTCCCCCTCGAGGTTATATGTAGATCATTGTGATCGGTTTCCCCGTTGTCCCCCCACATTCTCCTTACCCTCCTGGTATGGCTACTCTCATTATTGGTCCTGAGGGGTTTATCTGTCCTGGATTCCCTGTGTTATGAGCTCATATCTGTATCAGTGTATATGCTATGGTCTAGCCGGATTTACTGGGGTCATAATATTGGGGATGGCAAAAGTATTAAAGAACTTGGGAAAAGTTATATGTTTCGTCAGTGCTATACTGCACCGATTGGCTCGTCTCTTCCTTGTGACCCTTCTGTGAGGGGACGTCCAATTGTCTATAGATGCACTTTGCATCTCTGTCTCTACTCCGCCCTCCTTGTCATTCACATTGATAAGATTTTTTTGTTCTGGGTCTTTGATGCCTGATACCTGATCCCATCAACATGTCACAATCACACAAACTAGTGTGCTTCTTCCATGTGGGCTTTGTTGCTTCTCAGCTAGATGGCCGCTTGTTTATTCTCAAGCGTAAAGCTTTTAAAAAATAAATTTCTAATTTAACCAGAGCTTTAGCTAGTTGTAGTGGACAGAAACACTGCAGAAAATAAGGAACTAGAAATCTAAGATGTAACTTTGTGCCTCAGCTGCATTTGAAGAAGTTTTCGCCAGGAGCAAATGAATGGGGAGGAAGAGAGTGGAGCACATCCTGACCCACCAGGCCTGGAGGAGGCTATCCCCACTCTGAAGAGCCAATGCACAGAGTGGACCATATGGCTGATCCCACTAAGAGATACCAAGTCCCTCCCTGACCCATGGTCCTATGGGGGACAACACTGGAGACTCAGTGTCAGGACTGGCCCCGTCTGACCACGAGATACTGAGGCAAAAAATTAAAGGCGTGCTGCAGAGCAATTGGGGTGGGGGTGGGAGAGCAGAGCAGGGAGCTCCCGAGGGAGTGCAAAGGAAAGACTTTGGGGCCAAAGCATGGCACCTCATCGGACTTGACTGGAGGACATGCCTAGAGGCCAAAAATCAGACCTTGATCTATTTACAGGTTTTTCTTTCTTTTAAAAACTTAAAAAAATTTTTCTTTTTAATTAATTTATTTTTCTCTGGGTCATTGGTTTTTTTTGTTGTCATCGCTCTGTTCTCTTTTGTTGCATTGTCTTGTTATGCCCTTTTTCGGGTGAATATTATTATCTCTGCAGATCTAGCTAGATAAGATAGACTGGACGAACAGTTTGGAGGAGAAAACAATGGAACTAATGGTTCCAGGGGGACATGGGAGAGGGAGAAGTGGGGGAAAGGAAGTGGTGTTGACCAACCCAGGGACAAGGGAGCAACAAGTGATCCAAAATTAGTGACAAGGAGGCTGCTGAACCCCTGGTAGGGGTTCAGCAAGGGCAATGTAATGGAGAGAAATTACTGAAACCCAAATGAAGGTTGAGCATGATAGTGGGACAAGAGGAAAGTAAAAAGAAATACAGGAAAGAACTAGGAAGCAAAGGGTATTTATAGAGGTTTAAATACAGGCATATACATATGTAAATATATTTACATAGGATGGTGGGGAAATAGATCTACATGCATATATTTATAGGTTTAGTATTAAGGCAGCAAATGGACATTGGATCTATACTCAAGTACTTTCTCAATGAAAGAACACTTTGTTCTCTTAACTCAGCATTCCATGATGCTCATCTTCCTGACATGATCACCGAAGACAAAGTGGGTGCATAAACAAATGTGAAGAAAGCTGATGGTGCCCGGCTATCAAAAGATATAGCATCTGGGGTCATAAAGGCTTGAAGATAAACAAGCAGCCACCTAGCTGAGAAGCAACAAAGCCCACATGGAAGAAGCACACCAGCCTGTGTGATCATGTGGTGTCGATAGGGTCAGGTATCAGATATCAAATACCCAGAACAAAAAATCTATCATTGTGAATGTGGGGGAGTGTGGAGTAGAGACCCAAAGCCCATCTGTAGGCAACTGGACATCCTCTTACAGAAGGGTCACATGGAGGAGATGAGCCTGTCAGGGTGCAGTATAGCACGGATGAAACATACAACTTTCCTCTAGTTCTTTAATGCTTCCTCCTCCCCACTATCATAATGCCAATTCTACCTTAGAAATCCAGATAGACCAGAGGATGTACACTGGTATAGATAAAAGCTGGAAACACAGGGAATCCAGGACAGATAAACCCCTCAGGACCAATAATGAGAGTTGTGATACCAGGAAGGTAAGGGACAGGTGGGGGGAGAAAGGCGGAACCAATCACAGTGATCTACATATAACCCCCTCCCTGGGGGATGGACAACAGGAAAGTGGGTAAAAAGGGTCAGTATAAACCATGAAAAAAATAATAATTTATAAATTATCAAGGATTTGTGAGGGTGGGAGGGTGGGAGAGGAAGGGGGTAAAAGGAGGAGCTGATACCAAGGGCTCAAGTAGAAAGAAAATGTTTTGAAAATGATGATGGCAACAAATGTACAAATGTGCTAGACACAATGGACGTATATATGGATTGTGATAAGAATTGTAAGAGCCCCCAATAAAATGATTAAAAAAAAAGAAGGGTCGAGGTTAACAAATGATGACAAGGGCAAACATAAAATGCATGAAAGATGGGGAATTTCCAAAAGCATCACTTCCAAGACAGAGTTTTTAAAACGAAGCCAAAAGAACGAACATCCTACATAATACTCTACCCATTCCTCAGAGGTTCGCAGTACTTGTGGTAGTTATATAATCTGTTGTCAATTTGAGAGGATTACGAGTGAAGGAGTGACATCTAGTGTGCCAATCCTTGTATAGCCAATGAGGTCTCTGTGTGGATATGGCCTTTCATTGAGAATTCTGGGAATTCCTATATTTCTTCCTTAGAGGCGGGAGACACTCTCTCTGGGCTCACTCCCTGAGAGAGACTCTACTGACAAGACACATGGCACTACGTTGATAGATTCTGTGCCCTGGTAACTGAAGGAGCCATGTGGAAAACCCTGCCAGTGTTGAGATGCTTCTACTGCCACTGGATCCACAAGACTTTGCACCCACTGGCCTCAGATCTTCCTGCATTCAGCATCATTGGATGTGTTTTGTTAGTCTGAAGAGGACTTTATAGATTGGTATTGGACATATGAGCTAATATCAGACTTATGGATTTGATCTGGATTGAGCTGGGATGTTTTCTCAATACTCAATTGCTCTTATGTATAAACCTCTTTTACACGCACGCACTTTCTTCAGTTCCACAAATGAAAAAGTAGCTGGTCATGCTGAGGCTTGCAAGCAGTCTAACTGTGGGTTGCAGTGGTTAGTACATATCCATGGGCTGCTCCCTCTTCTGATTTTCCTTGCCCTCACTTGTCAGTCACTGACTCCTATTACATGGCTACAACTACACTTGACGATATTCTTTACCCGCTTTACCTTCACAGGGATATCTTCTTCCTGATTTATTCTCTCTGAGGTGAAGACATATGAGATTTCTTTGTGAGATGTCGTCTGTCGGCAGATAGCACATTTGATGGAGCTTCTGTGGGACCCCACGCTGTATTGTTCAATAATAATAGAAGTGCACTCGTTACAGAAACAATGTCCACAGGTCAGCACTGCCCACTGAGAAAGAAAACAACAGAACGAGCCATAGTGAGATGTCAATCGGAGATATCTTTCAATATGCGAATCCATTAAGAGGACAACAAATTCCACTCCGCAATATTTCATGATGCTACTATTTAAATCATCAAAGCCAAGTTGTACTTTTAAGTTTTGTTTTTAGAGTCCACACAGAGTAGACTCTCATGGTCTTTAGGTCTTCATTCCTTAATAGTGAGCATACCTGTCGGTCACCCTTACTTTATAGGTAGTTGGTGTTCTCATTATTTCAAAAAATGCAAATTATTCCTTCAGTATTTTAACACCAGATATAGTAGAGGGGTTAAGAACACTAATTTGGAGGTAGTATTATGCAGACAACAGTACTCAATATATTGGGTTTGTGTAGAAAGACAGTGTGTGGCTGGGATCAACATGAAATCCTTCCTACAGAAGCTTCTTGAAAAAGAATTCATACAAAGGGAAGAGAAGCTTGAGGTGTGTGAAATTGGTGTTCCAACAATCATTGGTTAGGAAAAGAGGCTATGCTGTATTTTATTGCCATACCATTCAAGGTGGCTTCTGGTTGCAACTCTACTCTCAAGCCAGAGTCTACAGCAGTGAAGGCTATAATAAAATTCAAACACTGTTCTAGCATTTCTGTATAACACCAATAAGGACAATTCCATTCTAGCATTTCTGTATAACACCAATAAGGACAATGTGCCTCTAATGCCACTAGAGATGAAGGTTACTTCTTCTACTTAAGGGAACTTTCATGGCTCAGAGGAGCTCCTAAGAAGGACAATGAGCAGCAACAGCGGTCTACCAACCTTCGCAATCAAGATACCTAAAAGATAGCTGGCTCCAGCTCCAGCGCCTCAAAAGTGACCAGAGGCTGATGGAAGTCATCCAAACACAAGACAGAAATGGCAAGGCCTCCAGAGGATTAGCCAGTTCAAATGAGGTACTTCAAAGAGTTTACCTCAATTAGGAGGAAAGGCAGGGAGAAGGGAAGATATAGAAGATAGGATCGAAAGCATCCAAGAGCCTGTACAGTTAGAAAAATCATGTTATTACTCTTATTATAGCCTGACATGAACTCCTAGGTACATGTGAGTCCTACTCTCTCTGGCATTAATCCCTTATGTAACATAATTCTGGATTTCATATGCCTGTAGCTGTAGTCCCAGTTTGGAGGGTATTATCTGCTAATGAACAGGAATAGGATGGTATTAAGATCTAACCAACTTAGAGGGTGTGATTTCTTTCCTTAGTGGTTGTCTTGGCTACTGTTACTTGTAATGCATGTAAAGAATGATATGCTATAGCTGAGAGAAGAAAAGCTGCTTCTGGTGTGGCCTGGGGAGAAACCTGGTGGATTAGTAGGCGGCTGGCCAATGCCTACTGGAAACATCAGATCAGAGACCCTAGGTTGTATCTGACTAAATAACAAAAAACTATATACCTACATATATACAAACACTACACACGCACATATAATTCAGTCTAAGGGTGGAGAATATTAAATTTTGGTGAAAGGTTATATGTTGTTGATTGCCACTGATATTCAAACTCCTACCAAATGATCTTTCTCTGCAACATGGGTGGTAAGAAGGTGGGGGAAAATACTAACAGAATTCACCTGTGAGTAATTGTGAACAAGAGTTTTTGCAATGCCTTCCTGTTCCATAAAAAACGAGCCCACTGAGAAGCTGTGGGTGTGATCTCATCACTGGCAGAGCCAGGAGCCGAGTGTGTCCTCTGCTCCACCTCGCCAGGCCTTTGGATTTGGACTGAACAGCACCTGCTGCCACGTGAGACATTTCCTCAAACTTTCATGAGTTCTGTGGGACAGGGCAGCAATTCGCAGAACAGAGAAATATGAGAGAACATACTCAAGGCAGCAGTAGGGGAATATGGAGCAGGCTAGCGTCTTGGAAGAGCTGGAGATTTGAGATTCTGCAATTTCCAACCCTTGGAACTAGTTGGTATTAACTTTATGAAAGAATTTGTCACACATGAATCTCATTACAAACAGAAAAAGACATACAATCTTTTCCACTTACATCACAACCTTTGTCAAGAGTTACTAGTATGAGTACCTTATTCCCTGTTCAGTTGCCAATGTAGTATCTATCCTTAATCTGTTACCAAATAGTGTCCTCTGAAATCATTTCTCCACAAATTTTGGAAACTAAAGCAAACCACCAGCAAATGTAACCAAGGAAAAACAGATAAAAATAACATCCCGCAAGCAGAAATGCAGGGTGATGTCAGAACAAAACCAACTGAAATCAAAAGGACAGTAATAGAATATCACAAAGAACTATATTCCAACATACTTGAAAACCTAGAAAGATTGAACAAAATGTCTAGAAATACACTAACTACCTATACTAACAGTCTGTAACAGAAAATCTTCAACAGATCCATAACAAAAGAATTGGTCAGGTCATTAAAACATTCTCAACAAGCCTGGGCCCAGACGAGCTTTACTGTTGACTTCTACCAGACATTCAAACAAAAGCACCCACACTATTCCAGATTATAGAAAAGGACTGAAAACTCCGGAAGTAATTTTATGAAGCAAGCATAACTCTCATACCAAAATCAGGTAGAGACTAAAGTAAAAATTTTAAATTATATACTGTTATCTCTTAAGTACATATTGCACAAATTCTCAACAAAATTCTAGCTAACAGAATCCAAGAATATATCATAAAAGTAATACATCATGACCAGTTGGATTCATGTGAGGTATGCAATGTTGGTAGAATATTAGAAAAACAATGCAACACATGTCAGATCATATGATGCAGAAAAGGTACTTGACAAAATCCAACAGTCACTCCTGATAAACACTCAACACAGGACTAGAAGGAAACTCCCTCAACACTATAAAGGGCATTGGTACAAAACAAAAGGCCAATGTGACTTTCAAAGAGGAGAAACATTCCCTTTGAAGACTGAAACAAGATAAGGATGTGTCTCATCAATACTACTACTCAGTATTATGATGGAAGTCTGTGTTAATTTCTTTTCTAGGAATACTGAGCTAGTTCCAAAAAGTTGGAGATTGAAGAAGTCCCGAAAGACCAACTCTTGCAAGATGATAGCCTGGTTCCATCCCCCTCCCCCCCCAACTCTTGCAAGATGATAGTCTGGTTCCATATCCCCCCACCCCCACCCCCCCTTGAGTATATTCCTTCGCCTGTGGGCTCTGTGAATCAAAACAGTGATTCACAGAACTCAGGAAAGTTGAGGAAACTCAAGTGGTGGTGAGTGTAGTTCAGTCCTAAATTCAAAGTCAGGGGTAAGTCAGATGCTGGGGCCAGAGGACACACTCTACTCCTAGCTCTTGTCAGTGATGAGATCATACTACCTGCTTCTCAGTGGGCTCATTTTTTTTTTATGTAACAGGAAGGATTCTTGTTCACAATTACTCACAGGTGAATTCTATTAGTAACTTCCCCTACCTTCTTACAGACTAAATGTCGTTTGGTGGGAGTTAGACTTTGGCTATAAGAACCACTTTAAATAACTTACTGCCAATGTGTGAGGAACAGAAGGATTTCTCTTAAGTTGTCTCCCCAAAATATGTACCAGACTTAGCTGCTTAAGAATGACTGTACAAAAGGTGATCAACGAAAATAGATCAGAGGTTATTCTCCTTAACATCAGCCATCTATAGTGGCTAGACTATTAGTCTGACTCACCCTAAATAAGACCCACTCCCTTCTGATAAGGATAGTGGTGGTCTGTTTACTTGTAGGAGATACCAGAGAAGTCAAACCCGCCCAAGGGTGACCAAGGTTAGGTAGCCATTATCAGCTGTCTAGATCAAGCAGACACCACTGTTTATCCCACAACAAATGTGAGCACACCCCTAGGTCATCCCCCTCCTATTGATTGTATTTATTGCCTGTCGCTACCCCTCCCTGTGACTTAGGTTATTGTCCGCTATCAGGGGACTTGCATGCTTCCCAGAATAGTAATTGTCTGTTTTATTATGTGAGACATCAGAGTGATCAAACTTGTTCAATAATGAAATGTATTGCCCCTTTCTGTGATGTATGACTCTGTAATCAGACCCACCTGAAGTGATATGATGCGTGGTTAGCATCTGACTGCTAAGCCCCCTCCACGAGGACCATCAAGCGGAGCAGAGGTGAGTAATGCTACCATGAATTGCATCTGACTCCATTACTTGACTCCACCTTTTAACTCTCATGCTCTCTATGACTTTACTATAATTTCTACTTATTATCGCTGTACAATTGCGCCTACCAAACCTGTGATGTTTTGTGGGGTTCCCTCTTCCCTTTAACCCCACACCAATGCAAAATCTTAGCCAGAGATATAAAGAAGGGAAATTAAAGGCACCCAAGTTGGCAAGGAAGCAAAAATCTACTGCAGTTGATATGGTCCTATACATAGACAACCCCAAAAATTTTATAAGAAAATTGCTGGAACGAATTCAAAGATTCATGAAACTGGCAGGGTACAGCATCAGCATACAAAAATCAATTGGATTCCCTAGGTGAACAAAGAGAGCTCTGAAAAGGAAATCAGGAAAATGATACCATTTACAAAAGCCAATTAAAATATGAAATGCTTAAAAATAAATCTAAGCAGAGATCAAAAACTTGTGAAAAGAAAACCACAAAATATTACTATAGAAAATCAAGATAAATACATAAATGAAAGAATACACCATTATCACAAATAGGAAGATTTTACATAGTGAAACTGTTAATGCTACCCAAAATGATACACAAATATCAGACAATTCCAATTCAGGTTCCAACATCATTTCCAAAGAGATGGAAAAGCTAATCACTAATTATATATGGAAAAGAGACACTGGATAAGTAAACCATTACTTGAAGAAATAGTGAATTATTTCACGTAGCTCTTCCAGTCAAAGTCTTCCCACCAAATGACCTCTCTCTCTCTCTTTCTCTGGAATATTTGTGTGTAACCATTGATTTGTAACCACAGGATTCACCTGTGAATAATTCCAAACAGGATTCCTAGTGTGTCACCTGCTGCATATAAAATATGCCCTTTGAGAAGCAAGAGAAAGGATCTCGTTATCAGCAAGAGCCAGGAGTAGAGTACAGCTCCCTGAACCTGAGCTATCTACACAGTGAGCCTCCTAGACAGCTATACCATCAGAGGAGGAGAAGCAGCAGCAGTGGAACTGGGAGCCAGAGCACTGAACAGTGGTGGACTTCCCAACGCACAGAGTTGGGAGAAGCTGACGAAAGGAAAGCTGAGTGCTTTTGTGAGGAAGGTTGGCTTGCAGTGCGGTTCCTCGGCACCTAATTCAAAGAGGCTAGCTTTGCTGACTCATGGAATTTGAGCTGAATGCCTTCTAGTTAAGGCTTCTAGTGGAGTGGTATGTCACTTTGGGCATTTATTAGCAGACTTGAAAGAACTTTGTAACATGTGTCCTGATACACAATTATCCTGAACATTTTTTGCAGGCATTAAAGCCAATTAACTTCCATAACAATCCCTTTAATCATGAATTGTGTCTGTGAGTTCTATATAGTCTTTGCAATGGATATTAGAACCCAGAGAAAATAGAGAGCATTTAAATCAACAAACTACTAAATAAAGATCAACAACAATCTGCTACACAGCCACCACAGTCTATTACTAGTACAATGAGAGCTATTGGGCCAATGAAACAAAATTGAGAAGTCAGAGGTAAAAGAGGTAAAGCCACGCACTTACGGACAGCTGATCTTTGACAACAAAATGAAGTGCAAATACATTAGGTAGGGAAGAGAGAGTTCTCTTTAACAAATGATGCTAGCAAAACGATATCCATTTGCAAAGAAATGAAACAAGACTAATATATCACACTATATAAAAAACAAATTCAAAATGGATCAAAGGCCTAAATGTAAAATTGAGATGTACAAAGATCATAAATTAAAAAATTTGGACAACCTTCCAGGCCCTAATAAATGGGAAAAATATGCTGCCCAGGTAGCAAAGAAAAACAGATGAGTGGGACCTCCTAAAAATTAAACACACAGGCATATCAAAAGATTTTACCAAAAGTGTAAGAAGAAGACTCATAGACTAGGAAAACATTTTTGGTACTGACATTTTGGAAAACATTTTTGGCAGTGAGGTAATTTTTTTTTAATTTATAAAAAACTCCAACATTTCCATAAGAAAAAGGCAAGTTATCCAATTAAAAAATAAGTAGGGATCATGAACAGATACTTTACCCAAGAAGGCATGCTGGAAACCAACAAGCATATAAAAAAATGCTTGTGATCTTTAGTCATTTGAGAGATACAAATCAAAAGAAGGCAAATCATCCCAATTAATAACAAAGTTCAAAACAAAACAACAAATGGTAGTAAGAGTAGAGACTGAACGCTCAAACACTGCTGGACTGTAAAACAATGCAACCACTATGCAAAGCAGAATGGTATCTTCTCCAAAATTGGCAATATAAATATCATTACTCAGTAATCTTTCCAGCTAGCCCAGAGAACTAAGAGCTGAGACACTGATATATGCACATCCGTATTCATATTTAAACCCAAGAAAGGTGTGCAACGGGGTTGTATCCTCTTACCATACTCAATCAATGATATGCTGAGCACATAATCAGAGAAGCTGCATTATATGAAGAGGAATGCAGTATCAGGACTGGAAGAAGACTTTTTAACAAACTTTGATATGCAGATGACTTGCTGATGACTATCAAAGAATAGCCTTCAGTGTGGATTACAACTCAATGTACAGAAAACACCAAAATCCTCACAACTGCACCAATAAGTATGATTATCAAGATAAACTGAAGTTCTCAAGGGTTTTGTCTTGCTTGGACTACAATTAATGTTCATGGGAGGAGTCAAAAAATCAAAAGACCAAGGCAGTGGTTCTCAACCTTCCTAATGCCGTGACCCTTAATACAGTTCCTCATGTTGTGATGAACCCCCAACCATAACATTCTTTTCATTGCTACTTCATACTGTAATTTTGCTACTGTTATAAATCGGGAGACCCGGTGAAACGGTAGTTTGATCCCCAAAGAGGTCGCGACTAAAGTATCTTGTAAATCTGCTGCTCAAGATCTCTTTAAAGTGTTGAAAAGTCGGAAGGTTACTTTGAGGACTAAAGAGCACCTCACCCAAGCCATGGTCTTTTCAATGGCCTCATATGCACGATAAAGTTGGAGAAAGAAGACAGAAGAAGCAATGCATTTGAATTATGGCGCTGGCGGAGAACATTGAAAGTACCATGGATTGCCAAAAGAACAAACAAACCTACCTTAAAAGAACAGTGATATGCTCCTTAGAAGCAAGATGGTAAGACTTCATCGCTCACACTTTGGACATGTTATCAGGAGAGACTGATCCTTGGAAAAGGACATCATAGTTGGTAAAGTAGGGGGGCAGTGAAAAAGAAGAAGACTATCACCAGAGAAAATTGACCCAGTGGCTGCAACAGTGGGCTCATACATAATAATTGTGAGGATGGTGCAGGACGAGGCAATGTTTTGTTCTGTTGTGCACAGGGTCTCTATCAGTCAGAACTGACTGGAAAGCACCTTGTAATACATGCACCACAGCACTAATAACAATAGCATATACAGTAGATGGAAACAATCTAAACACCCAGAGTGGAAGGATGGATAAATAAAGTTTGGTACATATTAAAGACAATACCTTTGAGAAATACCTCCTAACATGGATAAACCTAGAGGACATCTGTTGAGTGAAATTGGTCACGAAAGGACAAATATGTATGAGACTACTATTATAAGAAGTCAAGAAAAGTCTTTTAAACTAAAAGAAACATTTGCTAGTGGGAGGGGAAGGTACAGAGGGTAAATCACAGGTGAGAGGATAGACAAGTGTTAATTTTGGTGAAGGGGATGGATGGCAATATATACAAAAATGGAGGTTTGCAAGAGTGCACATGGGGCAATGTTATGAAAACTTCTAGATATAACAAAACAACCTGGAGGTTGAGTAGCTGAACCTGGGGGATCAGGACTATAGTTTTGGGGACCAAGGTCAATTAGCATACTGTAGTTCACAAAGACAATGTTCCTTTCACACCCTAATTTGCCGAGACGAGTAATTTTAAGACTAGAGTCTTAAAAAGCTCATGAGCAGCCATCTAGGTGCAACTATTGCTTGCTCCCCCTTTGGAGGAAAGAATAATGATGACAACTGAAAGGCATAGGGAAATAATCAATCCAATAGACTCAGGGAGGACACAAACATCAGTCTCTACAACCCTGAAGCTAGAAGAACTAGCTGGTCCCTAGCTACAACTACTTAGTGCTTTGAAAGGATCACGCTAGAAGGTTTTCAACAGAGTTGGAACAAAATATGAAGGGGGGAAACTGTGAAACACCATTCAGAGTCATAAGAACAGCTTACTGGCTGTTCAGAATGGTGGGACCCCTAAGGCTATAGCCCTTATTTACCCTTCTTGTCTGGAAAAGACTTCAATCCCTTGTTCGAATAATCGATGAGTTAAGATCATAAGGGCAAAGTTCAGAAGCTTAGGAATGGAAGCAGTACACAAAAGGAAGAAATGGGATAAGGAAAGGTGCATTGAGAGGATTGCAATTGATGAGTTGAAACAAAAAGTGTATGAATTGTTGAATGTAAAACTGATGATCTGCTCATAAGCCTAATTCACAATAAAAAGTTAAAATGAAAAATTCCTGCTAAAGTTTTTCCTCTTCAAAGTTTCAAGAGTCTGATGTGGAAGATTTGTTATTATTGGTAGGCCACTAGAGAACAACCATCTTCCCAGCACACCAAGAAAGAAACACTTTAAAGAGGGAGTGCAGGTAGAAACCTCTGAATACTTAAAAATATTTTATAGATGTATGTGATGTATTTTATCATTTTACCTGTTTTCCCAGCTGTCTTGCACAGATGGGACAAGGTTCTGGATTAATACCTCCTGGTGTTTTCTCTTGAGACTATGAAACAAAAAGAATTAAGAAACATATTAGTTATATTTTCGTATTTTGTTTCATACATATTTTGTAAGTAATTTACAAAAATGATCTCAATATAAAACAGCCTAATAATTTAGGTGACCTAATAATTTGAGTGTATTACCTATTACTATTAGTTCTTGATTTATAAACAACGTTTAATCAAAGAGGAGAGAGAAAAGGCTTTCTACTCCCATATAGAATTAAAGTCTCAGAAACACAGGGACAATTATACACTAACCTATAGAGCCACTGTGAGTCAAAATTGACTCAATGGCAGTGAGGTTGTTTTTTTATTCAAGGAGCACACAAAAAATAGAAGTGTATTATAGTTTATTAAAGTTCTATTTATTATTATAGAAGGCAAAATTAAAAGCAAACTATGGTCTCACAAAACCATCATAAATTTATTTCCGGGCTGGATTTGCTAGATATTATTAAAAAAAATTATTTGGAATTTTGAAATAAAGATTTCTAATAATTGCAGAAAAACATTTAGAGTTCTGCACGTCCCGAGTTTTTGAGCTACACGAGAACAGAGACTTGGGAAAGGGAGCATTTATTTATAGATGCAACTCCTTATTCATACAGGCTTCTTCTCAGCATCCTTTCCTCATCTCATTAAGGCCACAAATGGCCACATTTTGACAAGCTGGACATTCAGTATAGGTAAAAACAACCTACATTAATTCATACATTCCTCAAGGTAGACCTATCATGAGTTAAACTTAGGCTATCCGGTCACACATCTTCTTAATCACTATTATTTTTCCTGTAACGAATGTACAACTTTTAATGTGGGGATGACTAAAATGCATCATCTTACTTAAATGTAGTCTAACTAGAAAAGCCTGCCCTATGCAAAAACATCTAATGCATTTTGATCTGGTAAAGTGTTTTGCCAATTGGCAAACTATCAATCTTTTAATAAATAGTTTTATTCATCAATAATCCATCAATTCATTACTGCATAATTGCTCCCAGTAGAAACTCAGAGAATATGTTGTGATTTACATTAAATAACTGCAACAATTCATTCCCAGGTATTTTGAATTAGTAGCATCCGAAGTATATATTACAATTTTAAATAATAAATTCAAAAGTATCTATGTCTGAATGAATGCGTATGTATATGATATTTCACAATCTGTACCCACAAGCATGTTGTAATAATTCTATTATTGAAGGCTTTGAAGTGGTCTGTCTATACTATACTGTTTAATATATACTTTTTATATCACCTGTGTAACTTATATATTCTCCCTAATGTTGTTTTGTGATCTTTGGAGTTAATGTAGATATACTAGTATATCTCATTATAGCTCATATAATAAGAGTTAATGTAGATATACTAGTATATCTCATTATAACTCATATAATAAGACTATGAAGCTATTGTATTTAATAGAAGGCATCACAAAGTAGTGAATGATCACACAATATGGAAAAAAGTAGCATTATTTAAAAACAATTACCTTCTCCAAATTCATTAGGTAAAGAAGCTGCCCAAGTTTTTTCTGTAGCTGTGACGTAGCAACAGCTTTATCATTTAGTAGCTTTATGCGATTCTGTTCAACCTAAAAATAAATAAAATAAAGCTCTTATTCTTCCCAAGATAGTTGTTATTGATGTTATTAGGTACCATTGAATTGGCTCTGACCCACAGCACCCCTATGCATAACAGAATAAAACACTGCCCAGTTCTGCACCTTCCTGACAATTGTCCCTATGCCTGAGCTCACTGATGCAGCCACTGTGTCAATCCGCCTTGTGGAGGGTCTTCCTCTTTTTCGCTGCCCAGCCTCTTTACCAAACATGAAGTCCTTCTCCAAGTCCTGGTCTCTCCTCATAAAATGTCCAATGTTAGGAAATCTTGCGATCATAGGCTGTAAGGGATACTCTGGCCTTAATTTTTCCAATACAGAGCTGTTTGTCCTCTTAGCAGTCCATGGTACTTTCAATACTCTTCTCCGGCACAATTCAAATGCATCGATTCTTCTGTGATTTTCCTTATTCAGTGTCCAACTTTCACATGCATATGAGGCTATGGAGAATATCAAGGCTTGGGTCAGGCCCACCTTAACCTTCAAATTCACATCCTTGCTCTTCAACATAGAGGTCTTGAGCAGTTATGGATCTTCTGACTGCTGCTTCCAAGAGCAATGATTGCAGATCCAAGTAATACAGCTTCAATGTTTATCATGATGTTATCTATTGGTCAAGTGGTAAGGATTTTGGTCTTCCTAACATTCACTTGTAAACCAGAAGGCTACAATCCTTAATCTTCACTTCTATTTCTCTTCACTTTCAACAAGCAAAGTGTGTCATCTATATATGGCATGTTTTTATTAAGTCTTCCTCCACTACTAATGCTGAACTCTTCATATAATCCAGCTTCTCTGATGATTTGTTCCACATTCACACTAAACAAGTATGCTGAGAGGAGATAACCCTCAGACACACTTTTCCTGATTTTAAACCCTGCAGTATTCTCCTGTTTTGTTAGTACAACTACCTCTTGATCTCGGTTCAAGTTCATCATAAGCACAATAAAGCCTCAAGGTTACTCAGTTTATTATGTATTAGTCTGGGTATTTTGGAAAAACAAATCCACAGCAATTCATGTATAAGAGAGAGCTTTACGTAAAGAAAATGTGCACCACGAAAACATACCAACCCAATGCTGCCCAAGCCCACAAGTCCAACATTAACCTATTAACCCAACACCAGTCCACAAAGTCCTCCACCTCACAAAACAGAGGCAATGATGCTGACTGCAGGAGGAAAGCTGAGTCAGTGAACGACTAAGCATCTCAGCACTAGCAGGGGTCTCCACACGGCTGCTCCAGCACCCAGGGCTGCATCGGGATAGATCCATGTGGCTTCTCCTTGGGGATGTCTTGTAGGAAGTCAATCTTGCAAGCTGAAGCATGGAACTGCTAAGGCAGCTGCACCCTGGTGCGACCATCACACAGTCAAATGCCTTAACAGTGAATGAACACAAGTAAACATCTTTCTGGTATTCTCTGCTTTGAGCCAAGATCCATCTGACATCAGCAATGAGATCCTTTGTTACCCTCTTCTAAATCCAGCTTGAACTTCAGGCAGCTGAGGTCAATGTACTGCTACAACCGTTGGATGATCTTAAGCAAAATTTTACCTGTGGGAAGCATCAAAAGTTATCAGTCTAGAGTTTGAGCACACTGTTGGGTCAGCTTTCTTTGGAATGTGCACAAATATGGATCACTTCTAGCCAGTTGGCCAGGTAGCTCTTTTTCAAATTTCCTGTCACAGAGGAGTGAGTGCTTCCAGAGCTTCTTCAGCTTTCTGGAACATTTCAATGGGTATTCCTTTAATTCCTAGGGTTTCGTTTTTGGCTAATGCATTCACTGCTATTTGAACTTCCTTCAGCATCACTGATTCTTGCTACCTTCTGAAATGGGGGACTGTTGACTAGCTCTTTCTGGCACAATGACTACGTGTTCTTACTATCTTCTCTTCATACATCCTACAACATTCCATATTTTGCCTATCTATAGAGTGAAAATTATAATTCTAGGCTTTATTGTTTTCTTGAGTTCTTGCAGTTTCGGATATATGTTGAGCATGTTCTTCTCTTTTGGTTTTCTAATTCTATCATTATACCAGTTGGCTTTATCTTCTCGAGCTGCCCTTTGACATGGTCTATTCAGCTCCTTGACGTCATTCTTTCTTCCATTTGCTTGAGCTACTCTATAATTAATAGCAAGTTTCAGTCTCTTCTGACATCTACTTTGATTTCTTCTTTCCTTCCTTTCTTTTTAATGACCATTTGCTTTCTTCATGAATGATGGTCTTGATGTGTTCGCACAGCTTATCAGGTCTTCTGTCATTAGTGTTCAATGCAGTAAATGTGTTCTTCAGATGTTCTCGAAATCCTGGTGGGATAGATTCAAAGTCATGTTTTGGCTCTTGTGGATTTGTTTTAATTTTCTTCAACTTTAACCTGAACTTACAAACGAGCAATTGATGGTCTGTTCCAGGCGGCCCCTAATCTAGTTTTAGCTGTTGACATTGGACTTCTCCATTATTTTCCCACAGATGTAGTCAGTATCTTCCAGCATCAAAGCAACACATAAGCCAACACAGGCAACCGGCAGACAATTGGTGGTAAAAATAGTAAAATTGTATTAAGCATACACAGGTCTTCCACAATAATGCAAATGTGTCCTCTTATAAGAAATCTCATTTGTATGTGAAAATTCCCACTAATATGGTCTGTGGACTGATTTTTCCCCCGAACTTTGCTGTTTTGAGTAGTAGAAAGTTCAAGCTTAGAGTCATTTGACAACTGAAGTATCACTATATATCAAACGGACTTTGTCTCTTGGAAGACCTAATTCAGTGTAGAATGCTTTTAAAAGGAACTTTCCCTATTTACCTTAAGTCTAAAAGAATCAACACAAATTTTACTTGTGTACCAATTTCACACATATATCTATGGAATGAAAATCAATAGATGATTTGCTGCTTTGTCTAAAATGATTTCATCCAATCCAGGAAAGACTTTTCTTGTCCACCTGCCAATGGTACTAGCACTTATTTAAAGAGGAGTATTTAAATAAGAGAAAAACTTATAAAGATGCCCTATTTTAGAAAATTAAGAGGGTAAATAAGGATTATTTCCAAGGTGTTTTTTTAAAAGATTAGAAAATTTAGCTTTATAAAAAGAGGAAGATTTAAAACATAATCAAGCACACACATTTTTAAAAATTGAGAAACAGTATTTCTAACAAGAAATACATTAGGGGAGAGTTTTTTCAATGCTGAAATATAAAGAGGGATTTACTAGAGGGTAAATTGGTCATCATTTGTTCAGCAAAGGAAACCACCACATGCTGAAAGAGGTTTTGCTTGTTCTCAAGATTTTACTGGTTCTGATAATGCTGAGACCTATGTCCCCAAACATCTGCAGGCTTTGGCCTAGAGTATTCATCAATGTGTACAAGTTCAATGTGGAGAGAGGTAAATAAACAAAATATACCAAGAGTAAAATGCTAAAAGCATGTATTAGGTCTGAGGTTGCTCACACATGGCCATTTTTGACCGATTAAAAACAGTATTTTCACATGGCTTAACCCTCTATCCATACTTGTAGAAGGCATCAATGCCCGCTTCTATGGGCCTTGCATTTTCGCATATCTATTTCTCTGTATTTTTCTGTTATCTACTTGCAAACTACCTCGTGTGGTTCAATAATATGAAGAACAGGGGGATTGGGCTTTGGCTCGTTAGGATGGCGCACTCGTAGTCGTTCTGTAGCCATTGCAAGTTCATCAATAGCAGACACCCGATTCCTCAGAGCCATCCAATATTCATGAAGCAACTGCAGGAACAGAGCAGACAAAGGCAGTGAGTGGTAAAGAAGTTAACTAAAACTGGTTTACACCACTATAGTATGTTATAAACTCTTCCATGAGGTTTCAAGACATATACACTTGCACATTTGGGTCTAAGGGACAGGCAATTCTTTGACGACTTTTAGGGAGAGAGAGTGTACATAGGCAATATCCATAAGACATTATGGAGTAGTGCTTCTTCAGATTTGTACAAACGAAATATCCAAAGGTTTCTAGATGGAACCAAACATCTGTAATAAGTCATTATTAGATGGGTAGAATCTTTGTTTCCTTTGTTTAATATATATCTACAGGTATAAATACTTTGCATACTCAAAATAATGTATATATGGCTACAAGAACACAAGAATAAACAAATGAATATACATCATCCAATTTAAGAACAATGTCGATTCACCTGAAAGTCCCTAGTGTTCCCCATGAGTCAGAATCTACTCGGTGGCAATGAGGTTTTTTAAAAATTATTATTTTGCCACACACATACCCTTTTCAGTCCCAACAAGGGGGTGATCTCTCTCCTTATCACTCCATATTTTTCATCGCAGTTATATATATGTCTCATTAATAACTTGGTTATATGTGGGTATGAAGTTCCTAAGATACAATATCCATCAGTGTACACCTTTTGACATGCTTTCTTCAGCAACATGTTTCTGAGATGCATCACTGATGGTGTGTGTCACTGTAGTTCTGGCATTTTTACTACTGTGAAAGGGATTAGTCTGCAGTTATGAAGGAAAAGGCTCAATGTACATCCTCTAAGATAGAGCACTGGCCAGATGAAGCAAAATAGGAAACAAAACCCCAAAAACCCATGTGTAACTAACTGGGCATTGTATACGTATTTATCTTTTCTTATGGTTTGCTATAATTAACTGTGTCAATGTTCTTTGCATTCAGAATTGTAATGTTAGGAAAAAATTATTAGGGATCAGTAAGCTTTACTTTTTAAGTTTTATATCCAATTTATCAAACCCATGAACTGATATTATAGACTTATCTAGTCTTTCTGGAAAAAACTTTTATCCTGTTTTAAATAGCAATAATTTTAGATTATTTAAAATGTTGGGATTACAAACCAAGGAAAGTATAAACAAAAGAAAATATTTCTTTCCTTTCCCTGACCTACCTTATATTCCTTCTTCCATGCTTCAAAGAGATCCATTAAAGTACTTCCCTCATCAATGAGTTCAGCATCAAACCGATGTGATTTTGCAAAGGACAGGACAGCTTTCATAGAACGCTCTGTGTCACTTGTTCCCCACAGACCCCGGCTGGTGGTAGGGACGCGATCATCTACCAGTCCTTCTTCATCTTCTATCATCTCTTCAAATATTGCAGTCTGGCCTTTTACTCTGAAGGCAGGTAACAACAGTGTATAGCAAGCACTGTCTTGAGTGACGACGACAAAGTCAAACAGCAAGGCATTGTCAATGAGCTTCACCAACAACTTTTCAATGTCTTGTTTAGAAGGTAATGCTTGCAAATCTTTAGGAAAACTACAACTACTCTGAATATGCTGATGGCTAAAAAATTTGCCCAGTGCTTTCTGAGAGAAATCGGGCACAATACAAGAATATATTCTGGCTCCAATCTCATTCTGAGAATTGGAACAAGGCATAAGCCAACAGCCATGCAAACAAACAAACATACAAAACAATGTAACCTAAGATATTCTGTTAATCTCTTTTTGAAGGAATCAGAATGTAGTCTTTCTTCAATTTCCATGTTTATTAAATAAGGGTAATTATGATCGTGTATGTAGTTTAGTCCCCAACACATAGACGATGACTTCAAATGTGTGTTAGAGAAAGAGTATTAATAATGAGAGCTAATATTTTATAGTATACTTACCATATCTATGTGCATTTTATTTAATATCCACAAAAACTCAATGAAATGCTATTATCTTCATTTCATGAATGAGAAAATTGAGCTTGGGAAGTAACTTGTTCACAAAAGTGGGCAAGAATTTGAGTCCAGGAAGGCGGAATTCTCAAGATTGAGTACCACTTCCCTAAACGCTCCCTTAATTAATTAATGACATGAACATGTAGGAGGTAATATTTGCAGAGGTGAAACTTGGTGCAGGGGCAGTGAATTATTTAATTCACTAACCAAAGTGTCTGTAATGTCCATCAAACAACCTTTTTCTGTATGGGTCTGGGTAAGATGAGGGAAAAACCGACAGTAGTCAGCTGTAACTGCTAACAGGATTCATTGTGATTGCCAGCCTGGTGGCTAAAAAATGAGCCCTCTGAGAAGCTGGAGGTGATCTCACCACCACTAAAAGCCAGGAGTAGAGCACATCCTTTGCACCCTGAGATCCCTGCACAGTGAACCTCCTGGATCTAGAAGACAGCTGTGACAACAGAGGAGCAGAAGCAGGAACCAGAGCATGAAACAGTAGTGGACTTCACAGCCCATAGAGCAAGTACAGGTGAGTGCTTTGGGGCAGGAGGCTGGTTAGTGGAGTGCCTTTGGGCATTTAATTGGGGGAGCTGGATTTGCTGACTCACAAAGCTTGAGTGCCTTCAAGTTGTGGCTTAACGGAGTGGGGTGCCTTTGGGCAGTTGCTTTGGGGAGCTGGGTTGACTGAGCTTGAGCTGAACGCCTTCGGGTTGAGGCTTATAGCAGAGTGTATGGCTGTTTCTTTGCAACTTGAAAGAACTTTGTAACTTGTCCTGTGAACTGTATACCAAGCATTTCTCGCTTGTACTGTAACCTGTTAACTTCCATAATAAACTCTTTAAATATGAATATTGTGACTTCTGTGTGGTCATTGCAATGGATGATGAAACTCAGTAGCCGAGAAAAAAGTGTTGTGTTGTGAATGACGGAACACTGGGCATGTAAAACTTGCTAATCCCAAAGGATTTCTTATTGTGTTTAATAAAAAATACAGACAGACTACTGTGAGAAAAATGTTATTTTTATGATCACAATAACAAGTCGCGTACAAATTTTCCTGAAGGGAAAAAATCAAATAGAAAACTTACGTTTGGGAAAAGAGCTTTGATTCATACTCTGTGAACAATTCATCAGCTTTACAAAAGACACAGCTGGAAAAGAAGAGATTATCAAACAAATACAAGTATAAGTGGCAATCAAGTAATTTTTGAGAAAGCCTTAGTATTATGCATTTCACGTATTCTTTACCATACAGACAATTTTAAGGGAGATTTGAAAAAGGAGTTTTCCAGCATGTGGTCATTGAGTTCTTTTTTAAAAAAAGTTTGATTAATAATACATCTTTTTATTTCTGTCTGAATTCAAATGAAAATGATCTATAGAAAACAGTACTTAGGATGGACGACATTTTATTGTCAATCCTTGAATCACCTACCAGTTGAGGGGAAGTCTGGTCGGACGGAGGTGGCAGACTGTTGCAGATTCAATGACATCATGAGATGGAGGCCCTTCGAGGTTTTTCACAGCCTCTCTGACAAGTTTTTGGAATTTATTTAGTTCTTCCATTTGTGTAGTAAGTAAAAACTGAAGACCTCTGCAGTCATGGAACCTGACACCCAGAAGCAGCACCGCACATACCACAAAGAAAGAAGGAGTAGTCAAGTTTCTTAAACTGAGTTGCCATAGGAAAAGCTATAGAAACTGCATGCAACATTTTATTCAGTTGAACTTGAGTTTTCCTTAAGGGTATATTCAATTAGTGTTAAGTTCTAACAATGGGTCTAACAAAAGGTCTAACAAAAGTGGAAGGCCCTCAACAAGATGGATTGACATGGTGGCTGCATCAATGGGCTCAGGCATAGATAGGAACAATTGTGAGGACAGCACTGGATCGTGCAACTGTTTCGTTCTGTTGTGCAAAGGATTGCTATACATCGGAGTCTACTCAATGGCACCTAACAAGAATAACAATTCTTAAGAACTGAAAATGAGTTTGCACAATCTGTGTATGTTTCTCTGTCCATATCTCAAATGTCTCTCAAAGATGGGATTGCCACATTCTTCCTTTTTAATGCTGACTATGTAGATGTCCCCTGGAGAGCCTTACTATACAAGAGAAGTGCATGTATGATGCAATATATAAAGACAAAAAATAATAAAGGAGAAAAAATAAAGCTAGAGTTATATTCCTTGTTATAAGGAAGAGCTACCAGTACCTATTTTATTAAGCATTTACTAGTTTCTGAAACTTATTTGGCTAGAAACTTAGCCATAATTTCTCCTACACAATTTTAGTAGTTACTCATCTGTCTACTTTATAGATGAAGCTGAACTAAATAAGGTAATTTAACCAAAGTTACCTCCTTCCTAAAATGCCATATGCCCTCCTCCAAATTTTAAGTTACAAAGAGCCTCCTTCTTGCTTGTCTTCCCAAATAATTCCAAAGACTAATCTGTTTCTTTCCTGTCCATGAAGTTCATGGAGAACATCATTCATCTGAATAGTTATCATATTCCATGTGTAGACATATTTGCAAGTATGCACAAACACAAAAATATTTATTTCTCAAATTGTTCACAGGTCCTGTCCTATTTACAAACTTTTTGAATGGAACGATTAAGCCTTATCCCATCTTATTTTTTACACATGTACAAGGTACACAAAAGCTGCTTAATAAAAACTTTCTTCTTTTTTTAAATAAATATTTTCTAAATGCATTTGTAAAGCAGCCCTGGTGGCATAGTGGGTTATACACTGGGCTGCCAACTGGAAGGTCAGCAGTTTGAATCCATCAGCCGCTGATGGGAGAAAGAAGAAGCTTTCTGCTCCTGTAAAGATTTTCAGCCTGAGAAACCCACAGGAGCAGATTTACTCTATCCTGTTGGGCTGCTATATCCTACCAGATGCTATCAAGTCACAACTGGCACTTTGCTTTTTTGTGTGAAAAGGCATTTGCATAGATACTGGAACAAAATTAGATCAGGTATTAATAGAATTCACAAAAAAAGAAAACAAAGCTATTTTTATTTCTAACTTATTTATTAGACACTTAAAATGGTCTTCAAGTGTTAGCTTTTGTGACAAAGGGAAATAAGTGGCTTTGGAAATATTTTCTCTGCGCTTATCTGATAAAAATGACACATTAAAGGATCTCCAGTAGGTCCTTTAAAAATAATACTAATAAAATAATTTAACAACAGAAAATTTAATTCTTATATATCATGCTAATGGTAGGTAATATTCTAAGCAAGAACGCCAAAACATTAATTTATCTAATCCTTACAATAAGGCTCTCTGATTTTTTCAGATAAAGCAACTAAGGCACAGAGAACTTAAATATCTTTCCCAAGGTCGTAGAGCTATAAGAAGCAGTGGAGTTGGGATTTGCATGAACACAGGTAGCTGACTCAAGAGCCTACGCCTAATCACTAAGCAACCCAGCTTTTCCCAACAGTCATCACGCAAACACGAAAAGTTTGGTTTATGATATATCAATGCCCTTCAAAACCAGACAATGAGATGATCTCTGAATTTGGATATAATGTTACAAGAAAACTTATATAAGCAGGTATTTAATATACTCACTCTTAAATATTTGAAATGTTTTATTTCCTATTTTGTCTACTGATTTTGAAAAAAAAAGTTTGTTAAATAAACGGTACATTTTATATTTTATTGGTCCTTTCATAGCCCATGTATAGACTTGGGACCTCACAATATGCAATTAGAGATGTGTTTTAATTCCAGTAATGGAATTCATACCTTTTAAGTAGTTTTTGTGTGATTTAAGAAAAAGAACATGGCAGGATTGTACTTACATGAAACATCTAGAAGAGGTTAAAGCATAGTCCAAGGTTTCCTCCTGACCACCAGGGATTGAGATGGCAGGCATGGGGAGTTACTGTTTGAGTTTGGGGTGATGGAAAGCTTTGGATACTAATAGTGGTGATGGCTGTACAACACGGTCAATGTACTTAATGTAACTCAATTATATCATTAAAAGGGCTTAAAGTGGCAAATATTTGTTCTTTGCACGTTCTAATCTAATAGTAACAACAACAAATTTCAAAATAATTTTAACTGGTTTCATAGTTGATTCCACAATGCTATTAAAACAAGTTAGGATATCGTTTAAAAATTGAATAGTGAATCCTGACAAAATGACTCCATAGTCTTAGGCTTAATAGCACCACATAGTGAACACCTCAGGAATGAGAAGCCTGCTGGGCTGTGTGTGGGCAAAACATATAATTAACTACACATACGTGTCCAAATACACTTAGATATATTTTATTATAATCATCAAGTGTATTTGGATACATATGTATATGGACACATGGAAAATGTGGCATATCCTTTTATGGTTTTAACTTAGAAACATTTTTCAAATAGAAAAGGGAAAGCACTTAAAAACATTTTCAATGTGTTCTTTTATTAAATTTCTCAATGAAAACCAACATTAATCCCTGAGTGTAGATAAGAAAGATGGGGAAAACAAATATAAATAATATTGCAACAGTAAGCCTGGCCACTGTGCCACAATGCCACTCAACTCTTAGGGAAACAGAGCACCAGTAGGAAGCATGAGTGCTTTGTGTCAATAGCAAAAGCACATTTTAAATCCTCACTTAAAATTGGCTATAGACATGTCCACCAAACACACACACAAATACTTTAAGCAGATTTTTTTAAAAGTACTAACAAGAGTATTTTGAAATGGCTAAGATAGAGAGAAAAGGTCACTCTTTTAAGTTTGCACCTAATTTTTTTCTTTGATATATGCTATAGCATTGAGCAAAACCCATATGCTCCAGACGATAATACAGTATATTTAAGTGTATCTCTTAATAACAAATGATTTGAACCTGGAGTGACCACTCTATTTTATACAGTTCTTACTTCTCTGACATAGAGAGCTTGCCAATTTGCTGCTTGTAGTTGCTGGTTATTTCATTTCGCACTCGCTGAACAAGTTCCTCTTCAAAAGCAAATTCTATTGCTCTGTGGATTACATTAAGCCACCAAGGAGAATTAGAACGAATCTGTAGAAAGAGAACATCAGTTAATACACACACACACACACACACACACTTTTACGTGCTTGTGATAGGTAGGTTTATTGTGCCAACCTGGCCAACAGGAATATATGGGATTAATAAGGACAGTTTGATTGGAGGGCAAAGAGATAAATGGCTCGGCAAGCCCTGCCCCTCTTTTTTGCTCTCTGGTGATCAGACCAGCATGCAGCTGCTTTAGCTAGTTCTCTGCCTCTACTTGTGAGTTACACTACCCGTGGGACAGAAAATCCGGGGATTATGTTGCGAGAACTTGAGGCTCCTTCAAGACCTGCTTTGCCAAGTTGCTGGTATATACATTGCTTGACCTTGAGGCTGTCAGATCCTGTCGTCTTGTGTTGCTTGAGTTTGATATCCCATCTGGGCCTGCTTCAATAAGTTCCTGAGCTGCTGTTGGTGACCCACCCTGCTGTGTTCTGCCTGTGGCTGGACTGCCTGCATTGCCGTAGGGAAGACTCAGATGTCTGCTTCCCTGACCTTGGACCCTGCAACCTTCTTGAGCTGAAGGACTTCCAGTATATTAACTGTTCCACATAAGAGAATTGAACTGAGCTCTCTCTACCGCTGTCTGGACTAATTAGCTGTGTTTTTTAAAAAAATAAGCTGGTATATACCTTTTTGCTGTATAAACTTTTCCTCATATGTATATATAATCATAAGTGTCCTCGTTTTGTTTCTCTAGAGAACCCTATCTAACACGGTGCATTAGCAGAAAAGGTGATATGAAAAAATCCAGTGGAATAAATGCTTTCAAAGAGTTTATAACCAAAAAAAGACAAGCATACTATAAGAGGAGATTACCTCTTTTGTATACCTAATTAAAAGAGAACACCTGCTTCCTGACCTCTGGCTGAATGCAAGTTTATTGTATAAATATGTAAAACAAAGCAGCACTACAAAATAAAACTCCAGGACTCACTCTTTATATTTGAAGAGGTAATGAATGGGCCTCTTTCTCAGCATAAGAAAAGCCTTCCTTCAAATCCTTGACAAACTGAACTAGAGTCTACTAAACAGATAATCTATTAACAAAATTATACTCTACACCATTACATTCATAAATCATAGGAATTAAAAGGTGCAGTGATTCTAAGAAATGGAAAAAATAAAAGTATATTTTGCAGCCTTCTCTTTAGAGCAGTGGTTCTCAACCTGTGTGTCACTACCCTTTGGGGGGTTGAAGGACCCTTTCACAGGTTCGCCTGATTAATAACAGTAGCAAAATTATAGTTATGAAGTAGCAACAAAATAAATTTATGGTTGGGGGGAGTCACCACAACATGAGAAACTGTATTAAAACGTCGCAGCATTAGGAAGGTTGAGAACCACTGCTTTAGAAGCTGCTACTGATTTCATAAAGGAGAAATTTTAGGAATGGTATTTTAAAAGAAAAATAGTTGTGGGTTTAATGTTTTAGCATCTATAGAAGGAAAGATTTTGAGAAAAAGATACATCTAAGATCACAAAGATATTCTGGAAGTCTTTATCTTCTTCAAAAGATGGCTTATTATACCTTGAAAGAAATGAGGATAACTTCATATCTATATATAGTTATTTATATATAACTTTGTCTTATCAATGCTTGTTTGTTCAGTCTACAAACACAGTTAATAGCAAATCAAACTTTTACTTTTAATGTGGGCCAGGCACTCAACTATGTATGATTTCCATGATAAAAGACAATTCAAAGAAATTCAAGTTTCCTCCTAAACCCAAACCAGAATGACATCTGCAGACAAATGCAGTAAGAAAAAGTGTCATTCGTGGGACACACCTTTTTTTGGAGCTCACGTATATTCTGCTGCACAGGTTGCAAAGCTTGCTGGGCTTCGGCCACTTCCGTATTACATTTGCTCATGTAATGCTCTCGTAGCTGCTTGGCCTGTGTTCAAATAAGAAAATATCACACTTTCACTCAAAGCCTAGAAAATAATTTAGAATAGTGTTTCAAAAACAATGTGATTGTTTAAAATTTTATAGTTCCCTAACTTGATATAAACATGAAATTCAGGTTTATTGTGCACAGGAAGTCATGCAAGAATTCCTAAAACATTCATACTGAAGAGACCAAAACTTAAAAATTCCATAAAGTCTACCTATCCCCTAGCTAACACTTTAATGAGAAAAAACCAGGGGCAAAAAAAGAGCAATATCTGAAGCAAACATTATGTGGCAAAGCAGGGCCACCCTTGAGAAATTGTTTATTTTAGTCATAATAACTTCTTACAATTTTTTACTTGAGAATCTATTGTCAAACATGAAATTAAGCTTTTATCAATCCTTTTTAAGGCATTAATGACAATAGAATTTATACAGTAGAAATATTTTTACTCTATATAGAATTAAAGAAAATTTTATTTTCTACCATTTTGCAGACATTCATTAGAAGGTCTATGAAAGTTCATTTTTCTCCCATTAAATGGAAATACTCAACTGGGTCTTGAAAACTACCTTATGAATAAAGAGAAGGGATCAGAAAATATACAGGACCGTTACGGGGAAGGATGTGGAAACATTACTCAACATCTTGCTACTCCACTAAGCAGTGAGGGAGTCCATGTGAATTGCCAATACTTGACACCACTTTTAACTCACAAAATGGCAACTTCATATGATTCAGCTGAATAGACACATTTCTTTGTTTTCCCATTTCACTTCTTTTGACTCCTATTACTTTATTTGCAAAATGAAGTGGCTCAAGTAGGCTATCTTTAAGATTTGCTTCATTTTCTAATTACTGAGGTTTCACATTCTATAAGCAAAAATTATAATGTGTCTCCTTAGAAATACATCTACAAATAGTCTGAATCCTCCACCTCCTCATTTCCCCTGTCAGAATTTTCCAATTAATTTCTATTAAAAATCCCTTGACTGTGATTATCTGGTCGGTAGTGCTCTCTAACAACAAACTGGGCTGTCTGTCTTCCAGATAGTTTTCTATAACTGAATGTACTCACACAGAGTGGCTGATTAAATGCAAGGTTTGGATGCCTGCATCAGTAAGAAATGTCCATTTAAAACTTCCAATATTTAATGTTTACCTGAGTACTGGAAGTTTTAAATGCAGACTGTCATAAGTTTTTAAAATCTTGTTGATTCCAAGAAAGATTCCACATAGAGGTTCAGTATGTTTCAAAGATATTTATCCCCCCACCCGCCCCATCTATTCTTTCAATTTCCACCATCTATGTCAGATTGTCATACTGTGCTGACTGTGTGGTTGCTTTATACTAGAAGCCAAGCTACTGGTATTTCAAATACCAGCATTTCCACCCATTGTGGATAGGTTTTGACATGGCATTTCTATGTCAAAAATGAGAGAAAGGGAAGGCAAAGATGGTGTCCAGGTAGAGTCAGCTCCTGCTGCCAGAAAATTAAGAGGTAAGGAGAAAGGCTGGGAGGCTGAGTCCTAAAATTAGAATCAGGGTACTAGGGTTTGACTCAAAACCCCGTTTTTTTAAATTTTCACTCACAAAGTGAGCTGAGAACGTACTGAAATGCTCTAGGTTTATTGTGCTGGGCTCATGACCAAGCCCCTGCAGCGAGCGGCGATTACCCCAGGCTCCTATTTAAAGTTGGTCATAATCCCAGACTCGAAGAGAACCTCTGAAAGCTAATCACAAGACCCTACACCAGAACTCCCTGTGCTGTTAGCTACCTTGCGCTTGGTAGCCTAGGGGTCGGGGTTGGTGTGGGTAGTCATAATTGAAAAGATGTCAGGAAATTTAGCTGAGTCAGATCGCAGTGTGGTAGAGCAAAAGCAGGTAGTCATAGCCTGGGGGGCGAATTCAGTCCCAGTTGGCTGAGAAGAAAACAACCTAATAAGCTTCGCCTTCCCTGGGGGTCAGCATGACAACCCTGAAATCAAGGCACCCCACAAGCCCAATATAAAAAGGAGAAAAAATATTTTCTCGATAAAAACTGCAAATCCCAGGCTCACTGTTTAACTCCAAGATAAACCTGATGAACAGTCCTTTAGCAGACATTAACATAATAAGGAAGCCAGAGCTAAGGAATGTCAGAGATAGCTACAAAAATCCTCTGGAGCAAACATCAGTCTCAGAATAATTTTACTGAGCACAATAGCAGAGCCCACAGCCAGGGGGGCAATTTAAGTCCATTCCAGTTGGCCAGGAAAAAACCCAAAAAAAACTTCTCTGAGATATTGGGGCATCAGCAGTCTTGGAACAAGCTAGGGAAACTCCCTAAGCTCAACAGGGATAGCTACTGTCCGCCCTCAGCGGTCCTACATGCAGCTGGGGAGGTCCTGCCTGTCCTTCGAATGGCTGGGAGATCCCCTGCCTATCCTGGGCAGGGATAGCCACTACATGTGGCTGAGGTAACTCCCCCCAACCTGCTGCAGTGCTGCATACAGCACAAGGCAGCTATACCAATCATCTCCAGCGCTCCACACCGCTGCAGCAACTACTGCCTGGCCTCTGAGGTGATCTTGCCTATGAGGGTAATTCCACCCAGCATCTGTATAACCCTACACCAAGTGGGCACACCACCCCATCACCTTGAGACAGGGTTGGAACAACTCCAGCTCCACAGTCAGGCAATCAGGGCTCAGCTAACTTCCTTACTTTCTATTCTTTTCTTCTCTCTCTAGCTTCTCTTTTTCCTACTAAAATCTGTATCAGTGAGCCAAGTGTTATTTTCAGTTTTCTTTCTTTTTTATTCTTCTCAACATCTCTTTCCTTTCACACAACACTGCTGGCCTCTGGGCCACTACCCTTCGCCTAAAGAGCAGGGGAAATCTAGCCTGCCCTCTGTGGGAATACTGCACACAGCACAAGGCAGCTACAACAGCCCTCTCCAGCACTCCATGGTGCGAGAAAACCTAGGCTTGGCCTCCACGGTGATCTTGCTGACTAGGGGAATTCTGCCCAGCACCCATAGGACCCTGCACCAAAAGGGCACAAACCACCTGAGGGCAGGGTTTAAACCCCTCTAGGCCCGTGTTCAGGTGATCAGGGATCAGCTATCTCTTTACTCATTTTTCTCTCCCTCTTTCTCCTCTATTTCCCGCCACAGTCAATCTCAGTGAGCACAGTTGTGTTTTTTCTTTTCTCCTCTCTTCCCTCCCCACTCTCTTTCCTTCCACATGCCACTGCAGGCTTCCAGCCCCTACCCTCCGCCTAGGGCAATTCTGCCCACCCAGCAGGAAGCGCTCCAGTCTGCTCCCTGTGGCAGTGCTGCACATGGCATGGCATGGGGCTCAGCTAGCTGCTTTTTCCTTCTTTACCTTGTTCTTTGTTTTTCCTATTCTATCTCTTCTCTCTTTCCCGTCACAGTCTCAGCAAGCTGTTTTTCTTTTTTGTTTTGTTTTCTTCTTTTGTATCCTTGATTTTTTGTTTTGTCTTTGCTTCTTTTGGGTGTGTGTTAGTTTGCTTTTTTATTTTTGCTCCTTGGTTTTCTCACAAGCAACTACCAGCTTCCAGGCCACTCCCTTCCGCCTGGGGCAACTCTGACTGCCCAGTTGTGGGAGCTCCTCCCCACACTTATTGGCTTTACACACAGCTGGGGAAATCACACTTGCCTTTCATTGCACCCCAAATGGTTGGAGGATTTCCCTTTCAAAAGGCTGGGTAAACTCCCACCATCGGTTGTGATGCTCCACGATGCTGTGGGAACATCTGCCCAACCTCCATGGTAATCTCACCAATTAGGATAATTCTGCCTGCCATGCACTCTGCTCTACACCAAGAAGAGTACACCCACTAACCCTCGGTGGCACTCTAATTGCAGAGGGAAACACCACACGCCATCTGAGGTGCTCCAAGTCCTGTTGAACACATCACCACGGCTTCCTGGGAGATCAGCTAGTGAAGCGCCATCCTCGTGGGCCCATAACCACCCGACCAGTGTCCCATGAGAGGACTGTCCAACTCACATTCCAAGTAGTGGAATACTGGTTAGCTAGGGTAAGAGTGAAACCACAGGAAGATACAGCTGTAGCCTGACCTCCCAGTGCAGCTACCTGCAGGTAGTTCGAATAAGCACTCATACGAGTCCCCTAAGATGGCACTGGGCTCCTCTAAAACAACTCGTAAACAGCATCCAGCCCAAACAGCCTCAATGAAAAAGCATGAGAAACAGAAGACAATGCCGGATGAAGTCATGAACCTACTGATGTGCATAGAAAAAGCAGACATTGACCTGCTACACAAAGAAATCTTTGGAATACTGCTTGGAGTGCTACAGGATATTAGGGAAGCAATACAGAAAAAGGGTGGAATGATAGAGGAAATAAAAGCCACGCATCAAAGGGAAATAAAAGACCTAAGGGATGAAATAACAAAATCCAGTAATAAATTAACAGACTTTGCCAACAGACTTTAGGAGAACCAGGCAGACTTCATCAAATGGGAAAGGCAGTCAAACGAAACAAATAGAGAAGCTGAAGAAAACATAAGAGCCATAGTAAGATGGTATAAAAAGGAAAAATATTAGAATAATTGGATTATCGGAACAAGAGACAAGAAAGACGTCAACAGCGAAAATAGCGAGGGAATTCTTAGAGGAAAACTTCTCCAGCTTAATAAATGAAAATCAGGCAATCATTCAGGAGGCTGAAAGAACCCGAGCCAGACTGAATCCCAAGAAGAAGTCACCAAGACACATAATAGTTAAATTACCTGGGAAGGAAAAGAGAAAATCACAAGAGCAGCTACAGAAAAAATAGTCACTTATAAAAGTACCCAAATAAGAATATGTTCAGACCTATCAGTGGACACGATGAAGGAGAGGAGGGAGTGGAGTAACATATTCCAAAAATTGATGGAAAATAACACAACCCCCAAAAGACTATATCCAGCCAAATTATCTATTAAGATAGATAGAAAAGTAAGAGTCTTCCAAGACAAGGAAAAACTCAATGTAAAAAGACCCCCAATGCTAGCTGTACAAAAGATCCTCGATGATCGAGTATGGGCAGAAGATCAACACTCACCAAGCACAATAAGATACCGTCACAAAGAACAACTCCACCCAGAGGGTGACAAAAGAAAAGAGCCACCTAGATAGCATTAACTTCCTGGTGGAAAGAAGGCAAGAATGAACTCTCCCCCATCCCCCCCACCCCACCCCCGCCACATATCTGATCAGAGCACATAGGAGCAGATGACAGGGGAGGAGGAGAAACTGAAGCACATCCTGGCCCACCAGGCCTTGAGGAAGATGACCCCAATTAGAGCAGCCAGTCCACAGAGAGGACCACATGGCCAGCCCCGCTATGACACATGATGCCCCTCACTGCCCATGGCCCTGTAGGGGAACAACACCAGAGACACAGTGTGGGAATTCCCCCCCTCCCACCCCCATCTGATCCCGCCACACCGAGGCAAAGCACTGGGGGAGAGCAGCGGAACAGCAAGGGAATGGGGCAGCAAGGTCCCCAGGAAATGCCGAAGGTGGACTTTGGGGCCAGGGCGTGGTGCCCCAACAGACTGGACTGGAAAACACTC